GTAATACAAATATACTGAAAATATGCAAACTTCGCAAGGATAAAAACACTGTAGTGTTGCTATTTTTAGTACGTTATTTGCGCCTGGGTACGAGGCTGAGAATACATGGTAGTGTTGGGAAAACAGCGAACCAATAGACCTTTCCCTTTATAACCAAAATTTTGATCTAGACAAGTCTAGACAAATATTTCATCACAGCTTGAAAGAGCATCACAAAATTAGTAATATTCCAAAGTTTCGTTGCGAAATGTTGTAAAATGAGGAAAATAGAGCCTTGCGAAGTTTGCAATTTTCAGTCATTTTGCATTACAAACGGGAAATTGCAGCCCCAACACCCGAATCGGATGTCAATTTCCCGTTTGTAATACAAAATGACTGAAAAACAGCAAACTTCGCAAGGCTATATTATCCGCATTTTACAAGATTTTGCAACAAAACTTTAGAATATTACTAATTTTGTGATGCTCTTTCAAGCTGTGATGAAATTTTTGTCCAGATCGAAATTTTAGTTATAAGGGGAAAGGTCCATTAAGGTCGCGTGACTACCAACTCTCATGCACTCTCATCCTCGTTTCATCCGAGCTTAAACGATGTTGATCACCATCTGTTGCACAAGAGTAGCACAAAGGTAACGTTCAAAATATCTAGATGAGTGAAAGACCACGTCTACGATTGTATTGCTTAGCAATTATCGTTTCATTTCATGCTTCTGTAAACTAGGACAATGGTAACTAGCCCTCTGTTTTTGAATGTTGTGAATTCGGTAGCAACAAAGAAATAATGATGCTAGGAGATGTTCATATGAGGCTAGCCAGCACATATCTTTATTCTGTGCTAGGCTGAATCGTGTCACGAACATTTTTTCCTGACCATGAAAGATTGTTTGAATGAATTACTTGTTGCTGCTGCTGGAATCAAACTAAGTTAATATACAACTTGCATGTTAGACTAATTTTTGATTTAGGAAAAAAAAGTAAATTCCCGTAAAGAACTTATTAAAATTAGTAAAATTGCAAAATTTGGTTGCGAAATGTTGTAAAATACAGAAAATAAAGCCTTGCGAAGTTTGCATATTTTCAGTATGTTTGTATTACGTGCGGAAATTGTTACCATTTTTGAGCCGAAAATGGTAACAATTTCCGCACGTAATACAAATATACTGAAAATATGCAAACTTCGCAAGGCTATATTTTCTGTATTTTACAACATTTCGCAACCAAATTTTGCAATTTTACTAATTTCATTATGTTCTTTTTAACTGTTGTGTTTGATTCCCTTCTCTTTACTAAGATTAAAATTTAGTCTAACATGCAAGTTGTCCATTCGACTTTGAAATGTCATTTTGTATGTTTACCATCCTGGAACATATGAACAGCCCCTTATTATACACAATGATTTTAGACAAAATCGCTTTATAGTTCCTTTCACTGAATAAAAGTTCAACCTTGTAGACAAAGACTATTCTAGTAAACTACATAAAATCGGGGCCAACTATATCCCACTCCCTGTTTACATCAAATGAATGTAACTACTGCATGTAACAATAATACAATGAGAACAGTAAAACATTGCTATCAATTTTCAATTGTGAAATATTTATACATTATATACGTGTTGAAATTGTTCAAAATTTTGGAAATTGCTCGAAAATTGTAAATTTTAATTGCCTAGAAAATAAGTTACTGTATTGAACACCTTTAATGTGCTGAAATTTCCAATCAAAAGACAGAACCTAAATGAACGAAGACTTTGCACATGACATGGCGACCCGAAAATGAATGTGCTCAAACATTGACAAGCTCGCCAAAATGTAGAATGATTTCAATAATTTTCAAATACTAACTTCAATTGCTCTTATCATACTAAATTCTCTGTTTAATTTTCTACACCTCCCGAAACCTGGAAAAGAACGCGTAATATGTTAATTAAAATTATATCATGCTTAGCTGTAATTTACCTTATAATAAATCAATATCTTTTATTTATGATCACGTGATGTATCTAACTGCAGGTAATGCTGATGGAGACGTGAATCTACTTCAATATTTACCCAAACCCACCCTGTCAACATTCCTTGTGGGAGGAACCCAGAGAACCTGGAGGAACCCAGAGAACCTGAAGGAACTCAGAGAACATGGAGGAACTCAGAGAACATGGAGGAACCCAGAGAAACACAGAGAACCCAAAGGAACCCAGAGAACCTGGAGGAAAACAGAGAACCCGGAGGAACCCAGAGAACCTGGAGGAACCCAGAGAACCTATATATAGAGACTTTTACATACTTACCGTCTATTTTCGGGATGTATTCTTTGATTGTCATCTAGACACGGCAGATTTTGAAGACTGGCCACTAGATGCTGTTGCTTCGCTGCCTTGGGTTGCAAGACTGAGCTGTGAAAATCCACTATGAGCCGACTCAATACTTGACATTGAGCCCCTCAAAATATGGAAACAATATGTTTAGGTTTGAATAATATACGATGTTTAGTGAACTCCTTATTTACACTGGATAGCTCCAAGCCGTTCTTTTAAACTAAACTAACTTTATTTATACTGGATAGCTCTATCAGTTCCAAACTGTTCTTCCTAGAAGTCCAGGAAGGAACATCCCTTATTGATCCAGTGTTACTACAGGTAGAAACCTAAATTAATTTTACTCAATCTGGATAGCTCTATCAGTTCTAAAGTATTCTTTACAGAAATCAAGTAAGCGAAGGCTATCAGTTATATCCAGTGTTACTACATGAAGAAACCAGAGTACTTCGAGAAAATCTACTGCGTTTAACAGAGTCAAACTGAAAGCACTCTTCTCACATGCCACCAAGGCAAACTCATTAAATTTTCACTTACTTGAAATCGGTGCCTCTCAGTACTTCGAAAAAGTACATGATTTTTGCTTTATTTTGAGGTTTAGAACTGAGTGACGTTGCAGGTGGACTTGACTTGAACTTCCATTGTAACACGTACACTCCTGCTTGTGAACATACATGAGTACCCTGGAAGAAAAATATTTTGTTTGTTGTTTACTACATGAGCTCCTTCCTTCTCGACCTCTCTAGCAAGTCGCATCATCCCATTATTATTCTTTCCCTTCTTCTAATGCCATTATCCCAGTCATATTTCTTATTTCTATATCTCCCTTCCAAGTGGATTCTTTAATCCTATTCAAACAGCTGAGAAAAATCGCGGAAGCGTGTACATTGTAGTATACCACCACCATTGCAATCCCCTCTGGGCCCTCCCCCCATGTTTTGGATATCGTTTTCTTATTGTAGAATATTACACACACATTTGAGACAAACACCCCTCACCCCACCTACCTGAACAATCTCCCATTAGCAATCATGCCACAAGATGGACACTCTCCCCACCAAGCCCTCCTCCAAAACCCTCTTCACATGCCTACCACACCCACCTAGCTGAACAATTTCCCATTAGCAATCACACCACAAGATGGACTCCCCCCACACACATCAACCCCACCTCCAATCCCCTCCTCACACTCCGCATACCATCTCGTCTCCATCATGACTTGTCTTCGCTTTCTCCTCTACATTAGCAATTACTCCACAAGATGGACCCCTCCCCACACCCACCTACCACACATCCACCTACCACACACCCACCTACCTGAACGGAGTATCCATCATGACATGTCTTCGCTTTCTCCACTACATTAGGAATTGCTCCACAAGATGTCCCCCCCCCCACACACACACACACACACACACACTCATACCACACACCCACCTACCTGAACGGAGTCTCCATCATGACATGTCTTGGGTTTCTCCACTACAACAGCATCCACATTAGCAATCACGCCACAAGACGGACTCTCCCCCAGGCTCGTCAGACTTCCACTGCACGCTTCCTTCGGTCGCTTGTGACGAAATACTGTGAATATGACGTCACCTTTGATGATGTCAAAGTCCCACGTGATCACAGACTCGTGTTCTTTAACAGTGACGACGATCTAAGAAATGATTTGAATATAAGGCTCTGTTCTCACGGGACAAGATGAATTCAGAACCCTACTCAAATTTGCACAATTTTGCCGGTCAAGTTCAAACGGGACGTCTGAAGAAATTCCTGTGTGAACAACCTCCCCTGAGATCGTTTTGCACCTCCCCTGAGAAAATTTGCATCTCCCCTGAAAAGTCATGCACCTCCCGATGGGAAAGTTCCAATGCTGATCAAAGTGAAAATTTGATCAGGCAGCACTTGATTTGCAGGTTAATCAACTTCAATGATGTCACCTTCGTCCCGCCCACAAATTGCCTTGGTTTCAGTCTTCTCACGTGAAAAAGCGTTGGAATATAAATAGAAGGCCCTAGGTCTACGCTGCAATATCCAGTTGTTGTCTCACTATAATTTTGCCGAGTCACATGTGAGAAGAGTGCTTCCAGTTCGCCCTATCAAACGTCGGAGGGTTTTCAGCTGGTACTGCCGTTTCCTCTTGACTGCACCAATGAGGGATGGTCATTACTGGATCTCTGGGGAGAACATTTTAGAACTTACCTCATGCGGGGATCCTTTACCAACGTACGCGGCTTGATATATTTCATGACCAAGACTGAACTCATCTCCTTCACCGAACTCTACTGACCGATATAGACTTTTAGGTACCAGACCTCCTTCCCTCACGTCACACTACGATTGAAGATATAACACAAACTCATACTTTGGGAAACGGAAATGAGAGAAAAAAAGACAAATGAAACAGTGAGTGAGATGGCCTAGATAGAAGATATTGAACTTGATGTTTGTGGTGTTACTCTGAGTGTGCATCCACACCAGGCAAGCTGAAAAGTTTGCCTGACCACAGTGGGAAACGAACCCGCGACCTTTGGAATACTAGTCCAATGTTCTACCAACTGAGAGCTACGAGGTCAAGTCGATGTTAATTGACAGATCTTGTTAACACAGTGCCGCCGAACAACATGAACAAAAACATGAAACACAGGATAATGCTTACCTCGCACGTTCCTCCTAAGAACTCAGGAATATATTCATTTGGAATGTAATCTGCCAACCCTCCTGGACCCTGCAACGAAACAAAAGATTCGGTTTAGAACTCTGCAGAATGACAATATTTAAACAAACAGTATTTACTGCTCACCTGATAATCATTCCCTCCATAGATAAAGAACTTGTTTCTTGTGTTCTCGTCAATGAATGGGCTGACCAGAGTCCACAAAACTCCAAATATTCGCGGAGCTCTGACAATCAGTAGACGACCCATTGTTTCAGGATAATTGTCCTCAACCACCTCGATGACTCTCAGCAGTGCTTTCACACCTAGAAAATATTTTAAGTTTTCTAAGGGTTTTACATTTCTTTAAGGCTTATACACATGAGTTATAATATACATGACATGCAATGCATGGTGTAAGATTGAACGAGATAATAACTTTTTCTATAGTGATTAGTCACAAGAATGTTTTGCAGTTTTGGATTATCAAAACATTTTCCAAATCATCATCCTTTAGTTTTTATGATTTAGTTAACAGCCCCATCTAAAATGGTTCGATTTCATGAGGAGGGAGTGCAAGATGAGTCAGAGTCACACCCGTGAACCACCACTGACGTTTTGGGATGAGAACCTCGATATTTCTTCTAGATACTGCCCTGACATATCAACACTAACAATCTTACCAGGTCTCCAGAGATGTCGCATACACAATCCTTCGAGATCGCAGATACACGTGTACGAACTGCAGAGAAAAAAACATGATCTGAAGTGTAGGCCACGAACGTGATATTTTAAATCGCAAAAACGTCTCCTCTTGTTTTTTTCTCAAATCTTGAATTTCAAGATGGAACTTTTTTCTCCTTCGTTTCCTACCTTATCGGTGAGCCCTTCGCCTTCGTGACTTCATCAAACATGCTCATTGCTTGTTCATTGATCGACAGAACCTAAAGTAATAATGTTACGTCAACTAGCAAGCGGAACGAGTACCCGAAACGTGCATTTCAACTACTTACAATGACTCTCTACTGAGTGCGGTACTAACTAAAGCTATAGCATTGTCCACTCGCTAAGCAATGCTCTGTACTTACGT